CAACTTAGATGAATCTGAAAGGCATTATGCTGAACGAGGGAAGCCAGTCCCAAAGGCTGCAGACAGTCTGATTCTGTGGATATGACCTTCTCCAAAGGACAAAACTATAATGATGGAGAACAGATTGGAGTCACAGGATTAAGGCAGAAGTTGATTACAAAAGAATAACACAAAGAAATTTGGGGCGACGTGATGGAACTATTCTGTATTTTGATTGTAGTGGCAGTTCTGTAACTCTACATCTTTGTTAAAATTCACAACACTATGAATTTGACGAGAATCCATTAAAGATATGCTAATCAATTTTTTCTCCTTTATAACCTAATTCTTTCCCATCATAATGAAAATGCAAATATACAGATTATGTATTCCAGAATCCCCATATAAAATCATTTGTACACAAAACTGAAAACACAAGATTTAAAAGCAGAAATGAAATACACTCCTCAATCCCTGACGCAGCAACCACACAAAAGGGATGCAACATCTTAGTAAAAAGCAAAGAATTCTTAGGCTAAAATTTAAAATTTCATAGTAATCAAGATTTTTAAAAGTCCATATGGTTAAAGATGTGACTTTAAATTTTGAAAGTATTGTTATTTATACTAAGACCACTGCCAAATGCTAACGAAATTGCATGCAAACTCCTATATATTTTTTACTTTAAAAACTAAAAATTTTTTTAAATGCATGATCTGTCCTTTTAAAGTGGAATCTCAAATTAGAAACAAAACAATGTGTGAACACCCTAAAGAATTAGCTGATGAAACCCCTCTGCCCACAGAACACCCAATCTGTTGTATTTGTTTAATCTTTAGAACTCTAAAGATTAATAGCGGCAGCCAAGAACCAAAGGAGCAGTGCTGTGGTTCGAATAACTAAAGCCTGCCCACATCACCCATCTATTTTACAAAGAGGCTTTGTTTTCCACAGAAGTTCTATTCTTCAAATGTTGTAGTAAAGCAAATTTTTATTAGAAGATATTTAAAACATCTTAGCAGAGCTCATTTTGAAGGAAGATCATAAGTAAAGATTTTGGTCACAGAAAGCATTCTTTGACACCACCCCCAATTTAACTTTCTCATAAATCTATACTTTAAACTGAGGTGGGTTTTGGAAGTGGTTTTATTTAGTTTAAAGTAATGACACCAATTAAGAGAACTATTACATCAATAAGAAAGATCTGAGAAACATGAAAATTGATAGAGAACTGAAAAGTCCCGGGGTTTATAAGATATCTAGTGAGCTCATTCTGCAAGATGGCGATGTCTCAGATGCGGACGAGCCATGCAACCTAGACCTTGAGGAAGTACAAAGGGAAAGCTGCAGCCCAGTGAGAGCAAGAGAGGGGAAACCCACAGGAGCAGGTGGGAGAACAGCGTTCTGCTGTCTGGGAAAAATGGAAACCACTGGGCAGGGAGAGAGACCACGACCGGTCTCTCCGGCCCTCTCACTGGTAGTCTCTCATCTAACTGTCGGGTCGGGCTGCAAAACCTGCAGGACAATGGCCTTGCTGATACGACCTCTTGCCTCTTCTGGGGGCGCTTCTCAGGCACCAGTCTGAAGCTCTGATGCTCAGGTACACTGGTCTATATGTGGTACTGAGCTGATACTACGCACCCTGTTCTCCATCCCTTCTAATGTCAGACTGTGGAAGGGCTGAGGGTGCATGGTCCTGGGGTTCATCTGTCTCCCCCCAGCCCCTTCCCTCTCCCTCTCCTCCCGAAAACCTTCCCTCAAAGGCTGGCCAAGCTCCATCTCAGCCCTCCTCGCCGGTGTTTGGGAACAAGCTTTGAAACCTTCCCTTCCATACTGTGATAGCCTATCACAAAAAGCTAATTCAAAAAATCAGACTCACCGAGATCGAGATGAACACCAGGGACAAATGAGTTCAGAAAGCACATGCAAATAACAAGTCCCAACACCGTCAGGCATTTGGCGAGCAGAGTCCTGTCTGATATTCTGTGCTGTGAGAGAGGAAAACAGCTCAGTCAGCACGGCCTGAGTCCTGCAGTGGGCCCACCAGCCTCCATGACTTGAATCACTACAAATTCCTCCTTATGATACAAAGTATAGCACCTTGAACTTGAAAGAAGGTAAGACAATGTGTTACAAGGGAAACAAAGATTGAAGATCACAGCATTCAAAATCTTCATGAAAAATAAACACAATAATACAGTAGCACAATCCTTTTGTAAGACACCTGACTAAAGAGATTTTCAGCGTGACACAGAGATGCCAAGCTGTTCCCAGCCCCGCTGCCAGCATTAGATGAGATACTGGCAAAGTCACTGTGGAGCCAACACATAAGCTCCAGAGACCTGGCCTTTTAAGACACATGTATTTCCACAGGTCCTGTGTGCTCACTGCCTTTTAGTTCACCTTTCCCTCTATTATGCAAGTCCCTGCTTATCTAGCACTGAGGTTAAAATATTCTTGCAATATGACTCCCATTGAAGGCACTTAGCAGCCCCCTGATTACCAGCTGACACCCATGGGATCCTGCCCCAGGCATTCAGGAGCCAAGGGGAGGCGCTCTGCAGCATCTCCATTAACCTCAGAGTCACAGACCTCCTTCTAGGGGACCTGAGCCACAGGGCAAGACAGGGCAAGGTCCCCAAAAGGTGCTGTGCTCTGAAGGCCACAGCTGTGTGGGGCTGGGGCAGGGAGGGAGGACCCAACACGCACGTACACAGGGCACAGGGTCGTCCTGCCCCACTAACCGGGACCCTGTGCGAGTCACGCTCACTGTGCACTCTATCCTTTCTTAAGTGTGGTCCCACCAGCACACTTGTCTGTCGGTCTATGTCTAAGATATCTAGGTCTATGTGAGTAGATAAATAAAGCTATAAATATAGATCTAGCTAAAGAAATGGGTATAGGTAGATATTGACAGAGACAGATATGGGTAAGATATGGGTATAGATGAAGATACAGATGTACAAACAGAGACAGAGACAGAGAGATGGGTAAGACATAGAGAGGGACACGAGCCTGGGCGTGGGTATACATACAGAATGACAGAGATGGGGATAGACTTTGTCTCCTGGTTTCTTCGGTCACACAGTTATAGCTGCTTCCATAAAAACCACAAGCATATCGTTCTGGGTCACAGAGGCTCTGGCTGCAGCCCCTGGTCCCCTGCTCACAGGACATGGGGCTGCCTCCTGAGCACCTGTCCCCCTTCCCCACCCACTACCAAGGCTCGTGGCTTGGCCAGCCCTCACTCATCTTCCCCCTCCCCCGCCCACCTTCCAACGAAGGCCAATTTTGCCAGATGAGTCTGTGATGGAGAATTAGGAGGAAAGGGGCAGGGCACCTCACTGGGGGTGAGGGGAGGCACTGCAAGCCTTCCCTGCAGCCAGGTCAACCACAGAAACTGGGCATGACCGCGGACCCCTCCAGGACTGGAAGTGGAGGGCAGGCAGGACAAGGAGTATTCCAGTCTCGCTCAGCTGGTATCAGATGATCCAAAGTTTGTCTTATTGGTATTTTTGGGTGTCTGTCAGATTTTTCTCCTTTGGTTACCAGGGGCCATCACAGTGAAAAGTCAGATTCTTGCTTCTCGTTTCCGCCTCTCCCC